TAAACGCATTGACCCAATTTCTTATATTTTGCCGGTGCTCAATTCGGGACCTGGATTTGTTGAAGAGAACCTAACTACCGATCTACATCGCGAAGTCAAGAGCGAAATTCAATCTTTTATTTGCAATGATAACGATGAAAAGGGAAATTCGCCCCGAAAAATATTGGGAAGAATTGAGGCAAATGCGTTTAAAACGTCCGTGAAAGGGACCGGGAAATATTGGGTTAGAAAAGAAAATACAGCACTATACAAAACCCATGCAGATAAATCCCTATCCTTTAAGGAGCGATAGGCCAAAAGAAAGGAGCTTTAAAAAGCCATAAATATAGTAGCATACAAGCATAAGAAAAAGGAAAATATAAATAACTTTGTATTTGGGGCCAAGTAAGGGCCCCTGGTAGGAATATTTAGCATCTTCAAGATAGACCTTGTTGTTTGAAAGCATTAGCTCCTTTCTTTCAAAGCGGGAATAAAGCCAAGTCGTAAATGTCACGATGTTTTCGAAGGGAATCTCTGTGCGGGGGATCCATTGGACATCTATGTAGATATCTGTTGGCCAGATCCCTTTTAATACCAGGTTGGTTAGAGAAAAAAAGTTCTCCAGGAACAGCCTGGACCCATCTGGATTAATCGAATTGATTGATAATTGCTCTCTTTTACCGTTGCCATCGCGATAGAAATAGCTGATGGTTACATCTAAGATACCAGTGAAAGAATCGCCCAAGTATTGAATGACGTGAAATAGCCCTGTAGACTTTGGCAAAAGAACCTTTTCAAATTTGGTGTTCAACGTTGTATTTTGCGAAATATACTTATGGCTACGGTCTAACATTTCCTGACATAAGAATGTGCCTTCCGGAAACAGCATTATCGTCAGGGGGCTTACTGTTTTTGTAATTTTCGAAAGCTTTTTCTTCAAATGTAGACCATCTACAGCCCATGAGCGTGTAAGAAAAATAAAGTCGACCATGTCCATTGCCTATAAAATGAAACACAAAATATTACCGGGCCAACAAAAGGCAACTTGTACAATGAAGATTTCAATACAATCGACATACCGCTTGAAGGATGTATCACATGCTTCAAATACCAAGAGTAAAACCAGTCCATCGGAACCTGATGGTTTGAAATGTAGATGTTAATTCCACTTGATTCGATTGTCGGTATGTTGTAAGAAATAGACAGGTTGCTTGGCATAAGGACAGAGGCCATCGATAAGATGCAGTCAAACCAGAACTTTTTTAAAAGCTGACAGTATTTCGAGTAAAAAAAATAAGCAAATGGGGAAAAGATTAGCAAACAAAGCGAGATGCCGATGGTAAAAATCGAGATGCAGATCAGCGAACAAATTCCAATTAAACTTTTGAGCGGTGTGAACATCGAAAAGAATCCCAATGATATCACCCAATTTGTGTTGGGATTTAAAATTTTAATCAAAGTAAAATTTGGGCTTATAATTGGTTTCAAAAAAACTGCCCAACAACCAAATTTTAGTTCTTTAAACATTTTTTGTACAGCATGCACCGTCCTCCACAAAAATTCGGCACAAATCACAATCGCCTACATGCTTCTGGTGATTTTTCCAAGACTTCACCCAACTCTTCTGTTTCAACAGAATCAAACTCTATTTGTTCACCCAAAGAATCAGACTCTATTTGTTCACCCAACGAATCAGACTCTATTTGTTCTCTGTCGACAATTGAGCTCGAATCGATTTCGTGTCCTTCATCTCCTCCCGTTTCTGCAATTAAAAAAGCTTTGGAAGCCGGGACGCTTACTGCGGCCTGCCCAAACCTTGTGCTGAAAAAGGACAAAAGAATCCCACTTTCTCCTCAGCTTATTTCACAATTCCAAACCGTAGAAACCACCCCATCTGCGAGTAAAGCGTGCGGCCAAGCTTTCTCATCCATTGAAAAATTGACAGAATCTTCTTTGGTGAAAAGTGCCGACATAGCCGATAACACGAAGTCATCCCCAAATAATACACTGGGCTTCAATTCGATCCAAAATGACGGTTCAATCGATAAAATTGGCTATGAAACCCCGGAAAATCAATCTGATACTCAAATTTCGATCCCGAAAGCCCTGTCTCAAGTCTCTCTCAATACGTACGAGTAATTTATTAATTTTAGGCAAATTTTGAATTATTACACGGCTATTGAACACGTTCCCGAGACTAAAAGAATTGAAGCTGAACCCCCCTCAAATCTATCTGATGAGGACATAATAAATTCCACAGAACCAATTGAGGCTCATTTTATCGACCATCATAATTCGGCTTGCGAAAGTTTGTCGTTTTCCGACTATGAAGCTAATCTTGATGAAGATTCGGAAAATAGTACAGAAGATCATCCCGATCTCGGGAATGCTCACGATATTGAAAAAATCTCCCAGACCGACAAAGATCTCCTCAATCCTTTCTCTTCGGCAGGCGAGAACTACTCTCAGCATATCTGTTCGTCTCAATCGCTGACGGAAGAGTCTACTGAGGAGCTGTCTGTTGACACATCTGAAATTAGCTCTTCAGATTCTTTACTTTCATCTGAAAGTGGCGATGAGAAAAAGCAGGACGAGCTTTCAGAGATACTTTACGAGCATCCCCCAATCGAAACGACATCCCAGAATTCCCCGCAGGCTTTAGGGATCGATGAAAGCTCGGAAAATTATTGTAATTTTATGAACAGCTTTAAAAACATTCCTATGCTCTCGATCGAATTGAAAGAAGACATTGAAAAGTTTTCCATCGAAGGATACGCATCTCAATATTTTGCTGTTCGCTCCAAAGCACTGAACTTTTTTTCTGCCAAAAAAGTGATTCCCTTGAATACGCTGATGTCATGGTCAAAGGCTCCCCTTACCCATCCATTAACAGAACTTGCCAAAAAGTTTCATAAGGATGCTCTTCGTGCCTTTAAAGATGTTCAGCGTATCATGGGAGAGAGGTCTGGCGCAAGTTCGTTCGGCCAAACATGTGCGCCTGTCAGTGAGGTGCAAAATCTGATCACACTTGCAATCAATAATGGCGAGTTGAGAGATGAATTGCTTTGTCAGGTTATAAAGCAAACCACGATGAATCCAAACCTGTAATTGGTAACTTTTCTTACAGTTTTAGCGTCAATACTCGGAGAGGTTGGTCGTTACTTGGGGCTCTTTGCGCTACCATCCCACCTTCCAAAAATCTTCAGTCCTATTTGGTTGGCTTTTTGATGAAATCAATTCTCGAATCCAAAGCAAAGGTCGCCGAGTTGCAGGTCTTTTTGGCAAGCAGCACTCCGTTAGAGAGCTCTTCCAAAAAGAGCAAAAATGTCCAACAAGAAGAGCTGATACACAGAACGGCCATATATCGCGCCTCAAAATTCGCTTTGAAGGGTATCCGCCGGACCTGCATGCCAGGCGTTTCTCCCCGTCTGAGGATTCCGCTTGCCGAAGAGATTGAACACCTCATGAATATGTCGCTCTATGACTCTCCATTTGGAGAATCCCTTGAGCAAAAAGACGTCGAGGTGAAAGGCCCAGATAGCCCGACAACGAACGAACAGCCTGCCTGTATTCCAAAAATTGCCATGTACTTAACGGAAGCAATTATATCCCTTGGCGGTCTTTCTACACCCGGAATCTTCAGAATAGCCGGAAATAATGAGCAATTGTCTATTTTGCGAAGATCGCTAGAAAAGGGCGAATTCCGTACCCTGTATTCAGATGCTCAAAGTCCAAAAACCCAAAAGGCTAAATCCTCATCTCCGAAAAGGAAGAGTAATTCCTCTTTATGTGATTCTGGAACACCACTTCCTGTAAATGATGTACATGTTCCGGCAACCTTGTTGAAAACCTGGCTTAGAGAGCTTGAGGTATCCCTTGTTCCCGAGCATTTTTATGATGCAGCTCTCAAGGCGGCCAACATTTCATCCCAATCTGAAAAGATAGCTGCTATAAAAAAAATCGTATCTGCTCTTCCACCATGTCACAAGTCGACACTGGAGTTTTTAACTTTGTTTTTTCGCATCATTGCTGGGGAAGACCAAGGGCCCAATGAGACCAAAATGAATGTTACCAATTTGGCCATCGTTTTTGGGCCAACCATTCTTAGGGCCCCTGCCTCTGTTAGTAGCGATTCTGCAATGGATATTGCCAAAGCCTTCAATAATGCAAAGCTTGAGCAGCTATTTTTGACCACCATTCTGTCCAACCCGACCGCTATATTTTCATGAACATTTGAAGGCGGAATGCAGCATCGCATTTGTGAGTAACTTTTAATAAATATCGTCGCCGACAAAACCCTAACCCTAGCCGATTGCATCAGTAAACGCTGTACAAGATGCTGCCTCTTTGTCAAATCGTGATTTTAGGGTTAGAAGAGGGGACCTTAATAGCCCAGCTTACTTATAAATGGACATTGAGAGCAATACACCAGGACACCGATTTCAAATTACGAAACCTCGCGCATGCCAAATTTGGATAAAAATGTACGAGCGAATTTTTTTGGCAACCGAAAATTTTGCATGGCCGTCGATGATAAGCCGACTGTGCTAAACATTTCCCAACACGCCTCTTTTATCGATAGCTATTTTGATGATTCAAACGACTTTTTGAGGGTTGTAGAAAAAATTTCCATGTCCCACATAAGGATGAATGTGCTCTATTGGGCCACTGGGACGCTCTCGTTAATTGCTCGCGACAAGCTCGCCGCTCGGAAAAATGATGTCTACTCGTACGTTGTTTCGTGTTGGCAGCCTGAAATAGGTACTAATGCACGGACATAAGTGACTTAGGTGGGTTTTCTCATGTTCCAAATGGCGAGGTTTCTTTGTTAGCCACCCTGTCAGCTATACTTGTCTCTATCATTATTGAACGCTTTGAGGGCATCTTTTCTGATCAAATTAGCAAGGCTTCCGTGAAAAAATGTATGCCCCATTTTGTATTCACCGCGTGATAGATGTTTTTTCCTTGCAAGAAGAGGACGGATCTTGGGTTGGGGACTGTTTTGGCGAAAGGGATACCAGATTTACTTATGCTGCATTTTCCATCCTATCTCTATTGGGCTATGATTGCGTGAATGACACAGAACGGCTCAAATTATCTGTTTCGTTCGTCGAAAAGTGCCGAAATAATGACATTGACGGTGGCTTTGGAGCTGTCCCAAATGCCGAATCCCATTCGGGGCAAGGTATGCATTTCCACCGCTGATTGCGCGCTTTAAAATAGTCTTTTGCTGCATTTCTAGCCTTTCCATTGCGCATCGATATTTTGGGATTTCCCAACCAAGAGATGATTTATTGCTTAGACAATGGCTCGCCTTTCGGCAAGACGTCAAAACGGGAGGTTTTAATGGGCGGCCGCAAAAGCTAGTTGATGTAAACAGCAAGACAAGCGACTTTTTCTAGGTATGTTACTCGTGGTGGGTTATTTCTTCGTTGGCTCAGCTAAATTCGCTTCAATGGATAGACAAGGCGGCATGCATATCTTTCATCATGTCTTGTCAGGTACACATATACCGAGTAATCTCAGGATTTGGACAAAGGAGGATTTGCAGATAGACCAGAGGATGCACCTGACGTTTACCACACCTTTTTTGCTATTTGTGGGCTATCCCTTTTGGGCGATTCATCGATAAGGTGCAAAATAAACCCCGTATATTGTCTTCCTGACGATCTCCTCCAACGGCACTTTTTGCACCTTAAAAGCCAATAAAACGAAGGGAAATCAAAAAATTTGGAGCAAACCCGATTTTTTTCAAAAAGATCCATCCCTAACAAGTTCCGCCTTGTTCCCTTACAGATTAAAGGCCGATAAGAGAGCTTGCCACGAAGTTGCATGTAAAACAAGACACCCGATTTGATAGCGTTCAATGGGCTTAGGAAGCATATGTAAAACCGTGTATTTGATGTGAGTAAATGACATCGGCGTGTATGTTCTTGCTAGTGGGATAAACATCTTGCAAATGTCAAAAACATCCACCAGCTCAGAAGGCGTTTTAGAAAAAGGCAAAAAAATTGAGGGATTGCTTTGAGCTCCTCTTGCTATCAGCAGGCCCTTCAATGCCGGATATTTGTTGTATTTCTCCCAAAAGGCTTGGATTTCACAAGGCGACAAAAAGTCTCCATTAGCAACCAGATGCAATTTAGCTGATTCAAGGAGATGATCCCAAACATCCCAAAAGGCAGGTGTTTTTTCTGTCCTATCTGAAATCCTTCTGGAATGCACAATCACATAGTCCAGGTTTGGACACCTAGTAGCCAAAAAAGAAAAGAGTTTGGAAGAACTTTCGGCTACATCTTTAAGTTCTTCCAAGCTGATTTTCTCCTTTTTTGAAGGGTGCACATCATGTGCAACCTGGGCATCGTGATCGCCATTGCAGCAAGAAGATGTAACCAGGCGGAGTTTTACTGAAAGAGGCACCTTTTTCTCTGGATCTGCAATACATTCCTCGCCAAGCGCATTTAAAATCGAAGCAAGAAGATCCGGTTTTCGCAACAAAGCAGCCCCCATGCCGGCTTGGATTGAAAAAAACTTTGGACACCCGGCGTTCAAATTGATTTCGGAAATGTATTCCTTGACAACTTTGAAAGCCTTCACGGCGAGCTGAGGATCCGAACTGCCTAGTTGGAAAACAAGGAAATCCTTTTCCGAAGGATGCGTAGACCATATCAAAGTATTGCGGTCGGGAGAGACAAACGAAATTACTCCGGTCTCTGGATCAACCATTTTCACGCTGGAAATTATGGCTTTATCTATCAGTTCGGGAGTGAATACTTTTTTTGCGCCATATTTAAGCGCCAATAGCCGAAATGGAAGCGTAGATACCCTTACCATTGGGGCAAGAAA